GTCGCATGCTGCAAACACACGGTCCATTCCAGCTATCTTGTCTTGCAGGTCCTGCCAAGTCGACGAATCCGGAATAAGTTTCAACATACAGTAGCAAGATAAGCGACGGACGAACAGCACATGATGCGAGTTGTGCTTGGCCGAGAGGACAAGCGAGGGATACATGGCGCAAGCCGGGCCAGAAGGAGACGTCGATAAACAGCATCTCCCATCTCCCATTTCCCATCTCGCATCTCGCATCTCGCATGTCTCGAAAATGCCAAGTAGACTCAATGGGTGGGCCCGATAAATAAGTCGGAAAAGCAAACAATCGGAACAAAACAAGAAACAGCAAGAAACAAGAATAAAAGTAGAATAAACAAAACCGCCCGAATTCGGGGTACCGCTTACTTTATTGGCTTGACGCCCTGGGTCGACTTGCCCGGTTTTTCCCTCCTCTTTGTGTCTTCCCATTGATTAGGCTCTTTATTAATTGCCCGGACTCTGCCTCTCGATCTGCTTCGCCTGGCCAGTCAGGCAGTGAGGCAGACGCAGCGAGCTCCAATCCAACAGCCTGTTGCAAAGGGCCCAACGCCAGAGGCCATTTGCCGGTTATCCCCACAGGCGGCCACAGCAACAGGCAACCGACGGGATGCAGCATAATAATACCTGACTGAGCAAGCTCTCCCAACTTGAACCGTCCAGCTGCGGCTACGTCTTCATGATCCCAACTTGACTCAGCAAGCTCGGTAGACAATACTAGCGTGGATGTACCGCAACCTGCCTGGCCCACGGGTTCCCAAACTTCGTCATCATCAACATCATCATTATCATCGCACCGATCTTATTTTTCATTCCGTCAACAACTATTTTGTTTCTTTGTCTTTGTCTTCGTCTTCGTCTCCGTATCCGCCTCCGTCTCATTACTCTGCAGCTGCTCACTCGACCCAACCGCTCGGTCTTGGATGATTGCGGAGGGACGAAGCTGGTTCTGAATGTCTTGTGGACGGAGCTGAGATCAGCCCTCGCCCAAAGCCTCCGGCGTCCATATTTTCGGCGCCTTTCTCGTCTGTTGCGAAACAAGTTCAATTTCATCGCAGGCCCCCCAATCCCTGACAGCCTGTCTGCCTTGTGCAGCTGCCTCATGGTAGTGCAAACCCCAACACATTGTGCCGTTTCTTTATTTTACATGATTTCGCGCCCGGCACATATCCCCCATCGCTTGATCTCATAATACCCATCCGATCACCGCCGTCGTCGCCATGCCGAGAGTGAGGCTCCCGAGAGTGAACTTGAAACTGGGGTTTTTCAAGAAGCTGCTGCACAGGAGATCCGACCCCGAAGTAGTAGTATCGGAATCTACCGCAGATGTCGGATCCTACCAGCGAAAGGACGAGAAAAACACCGCAGCGCTTGAAGAACCCCCTCTCGAAGAATGCCCCATCTGCCACGACCCGGTCGGTCTCGAGAACCCCGAGGGCATCCTAGAGTCGTGGGTTCATCTGCACTGCAATCATAAGTTTGGCACGCAATGCATCCAGACATGGCTCCAGGAATCTGCCGAGCGCGATCCTCACTCGATGCCGAGTTGTCCTATCTGTCGCACTACCGCGAAGCATCCCTGCGGACACCCGGTCATCATGCCCACGGCCAGGCTCTCGCCCTTTGCCTTGTGGGCGACCCTGCCGCCTGCGCCGCCGACACCGCCTCCAACATACCGACAGAATCGCCGACCGCGCCGTCGTCTCTCCAGGCGTTGGGGCCATCCTCACCGGCCCCTGCCATCACGGCCTTCCGCCCCGAGCGTGCAGACCGTTGGCAAGTGCAATATCTGCGCAGCCACCGCCGCGCAAGAGACTATGTCCAGGCAAATGACCATGTCCAGTATTGATATGGAGACAACGTACGGCGGACGTGCCCGGAACAGCGACAGGCGAACTGGGATCAAGTCTATGCTGATGCAGACCAGCCTGAGACGACTGGGCGGCTCGGCTGTGGAGCCTGCTCGTACGGAGAACTACACAACTCGGATCGATGCACTGGGCGATCAACCGATACTGACCTTGGCGGGCCCTGGGACTCATCGCGAATACGTAAACCAATGCCGAACCCGGGCAGCCGTCAGTCACACGCCTGCAACGCCAGGCAGGTTTGCGGACCCGTGAGAAAGACGATTTACACAGCAACATTACCATCTCAGTGGTCTGCGGCTTGAGATGTTTTCGGCCGAAATAGGGGGTTCTCTGCAACCGGCTCTTACGTCAAGCCGACTCAGGAGCAACACGATGCGATGCGGTTCTGGCTATGGAGTCATGGAATCATGGAGTTCTGGAGTCATGGGAGTTATGGAGTCACGAAGTCACGGAGTCACGGAGTCCAGTCGCCACCGGATGGCAGTATAGGAATAGGGGATAGGGATAGGAATAGGAGTCATCGTCTGCTTATACTATGTACGGGGACGGATGGCCTTGATCTTTCGGAACTTTGTCCCAACTTTTAGAACACCTGTACCTGCGTTGGGCTCCATGCAACGGATAGTACTCGGGCACTAATTACGAATGACGTTTTTTTTTCCCGTTGAGAATGAGCTGTGATCTGGTGTCCTTTTCGGCCATTCTACATGTAAAGCTAATAAGCTGTGATGCCATTGATGCTTGTCCTGATTGTGTCTGATAATCATGAGATGACTTGACTTTTGGCGGGGAACGGCGGGGTTGTGACGACAAGCCAGGAGCTTGCGGCGGATGGCGGGGTAATATTGTACTATAACTGTACGCTAGCACAACTTGATAGGTACCGTAGGTGATACCTACAAGGTACCTAAGTTATCTCTTAGGCCCGCTGACTAAAATGGGTAGCTAACTTAGTGCACGCTAAACCATCTTGAGTAGGTGCCTATAGCACTTTACTTCGTAGGTGGAGTCACCCCTGGAATAGGGCGCTAGAACGGTTATAGGCGCCCGGGAACGTGTACTGTAGATAGAGCTGGTCCATGGACGACGCGCTTTTATCGTATCCGGCAACATACCTAACTTACTCCAACACCGAAGATGAGGTTCAAGACAGAGGCGTTAAATAGAACTGGAGCTCCTGTCGCGTGCCGAACTCCGACCATTCGGCCTCAGCGGAGAGTTCGTCGAAAATGAACTCACGTATCAATCACAGAGCTCGTCACTGCCCTGTCGTCCCCCGAGAAAATCGCCCAGGCGCCTTGATACCGTCCGCTTCGCCGTGATCCCCAACGCTGGGGCCGCTCAAGGATACTAATATACCCATACGTCCATAATGATGCTAAATATTGTCTATGGCGTGTAGCCCCTCATCAGTCGATTTCCTCTCCAGCAACTGGACCATCCAATCCGCCGAATCAAACAACGCGATCAGCCTCGAGCTTCCCCTGATTCCACTCCAGCGAGCTCTCAAACCCGTCGCTATTTAATGCGTTATCTATGCCCCTTCGTTTAACTAAGAAAGAAGGCGTTCCTATACTCTCCATGACCATAACGGCATCCACGGCGCAAACACAAAAAGTTCATCACGCAAGACATCCCAACATAAGTATTGCTCCCCGAGACGGTCGAGAACATTACACAGCCCAAGGCGCGGGAGCTGAAGTCCACATCCAACTCCCACTGCTGCTCCGACTCAAGGCGATCACAGACCGCTTTACCAAGCCGGCCGTCGCGTCCCGTGCGTCCTTGTCTTCGTTCGCTCTTTCGTCGGCCGTGGATCCGAAACTCGAGCTCAGCGCCAACGTGCATGGCGAACTGCAGCTACGCCTCGATACCGACGCCCTCAACGTCGAGCTGTGATGGGGCGCTTTTCAGAACCCGGAGATCGACCCCCGTCAGCTGCCCTGCGCCGTTGAGGGCCATCCCAGCACACGGTTGAAGAACGCCCAAACAAGTTGGCTGCGGTGCGCGTTGACGGCAAAGACTGGAGTAGGATCCTTAGCGTGGGACTTCTGGACGGCCGTGTTCTTGCATGTTTCGCCGGCGACCATGCGTTGATCTCGTATGTGTACGTCTACCGCGGAGCAAGCCTCGAATGAAACGAAGCGGTGACGCCCCTTTACATATTTAGCTACGTGTCGATGTGCTTCAGGATGGCCCTTGTCCCACGTCCGGTGTTTTTCGGACCCTTGATAGTTTAGCTGCCGGGTTTGGGATGATTACTAGCATGAGGAGATCAATGGCACGTTGGATATCAAGAAGGCTTCTCGTCTGCTACAGGAGAAGTGTAATGGAATAAACACGCACCATCTTCGTACCTATGGTGTAATAAATGCAGATTATAGCATTTATGCGCCATGCGGATATTACGCCTGAAGAACATCAGCAGCTCTGGCGGTGGAATGACTGACGATCGGGAAAAGCCTACAGCACCCCCAGGCTTATACACGGGAAGCTGTACGCCTAAAGCGCGAAATCAAAGGACATATAAGCCATACGAGATGAGAGCAATCCCGCAGAATGTCGTTGAGGGTCTCGACATCAGTATCGATTTCCAGAGTGTAGGGAATCACTGCCGGCCACAGGGTTACGAAAATACAAGAGCTATGCTTCCAGCGCTGAGAACCCAAGCGCAATCCACAAGGATTATTGCCACTTTAAGTCACCCTTCGCTTGCAGAAGGTAGAGGCAGAAACCAAACAAACCACAAGGTCACCATGGTAGAAGATCGACTCGTCTTTCCAGACCGCACTCGCGTAACTAACAGTAAGACGTCAGTCACTGCCAGTGATCTAGACCAAGGCTTGTCGAAGATGTCAACATGAAGCCCAGATGGGACCCAAAAAGAAGCCCAAAAGTTTGTATAGCCAGACTTCAGCTCAATGGACCTGTATCCACCAGCCACCAGGAAAAGAGTTGTCGGTCTGGGTCCATGCTGCAGCGTGGGCCTCTCGCTCACGAGTCGGCGGTGAGCATATCTACGATACCATACACCCACAAGACCACCCCAGCACTTGCATACCGACTATTTATACTATACTCGACGCATTATACACCATCCAGTTCAAAGGCCGTATGGTGCAATGGTTATACACACCTGGCAGTGCTCTCGCTGCCATGAGAAGCAAGCGGGTTCGAATCCCGCTACGGCCTCCCTCTTTAACCCGGCTTTCATCGAATTGCCAACAACAAACCAGCCCCCTCCTCAGGTGGCCCCGAACAACCCCATACCCATAGTCTATACAACGACAACCGGGTAGCGACAACTTATGCCCATAGCCTGGGCAGCGAAAAAACCCATATACCCATAACCTGGGTAGCGACAACGTGTTATCTGGCCAGATCACTGGCAAACATGATACACTGCCGTGGCGACACGGCGCGAAATGGTTGAAAGTCAAGGACGGAAAATAGCGGAGGTGAAAGTCACAGGACGGAGTGGAGGATTCTTTTTTTTTCTTTCAAGTGAAATGCCCGACTTCAAACGTCCGACAATCTGGTTCAATATAACATAGGCCACTGGAACCATAAGACACAGAGACGTGAAATATATGGCACCGTACGTGCCTACATAGTTTGAGGTAAGAGGTGATGTTAATTCGCGATGTCCATTATTGACCGTGTATACTTGTTCTATCTCTCTCGGCGTGAACTCGGGCGTAAAGGGATTTTCTTTGATATTTTCAGCCTCGGTTAGCTGCCTGCGGAACAATATAGGTAATATTTCTTTAGTAAGACTGCTCAGTAAGTAATTCGTATCCTACAAATACATGCTGTGCTTTGCGTATAGGTATCCATACCTACTGCGTAGGTACCTCTCTCGTTACCAGGTGGCTTATGTAGAACGTTCTCCTTCGCGTTGTCAAGGGTTCAGCTAAGCCGGCGTGTTGATTGAATAAGGAAGGTAAGAAAAAAACGCCATCTACCTAGTGCGGTAGGTAGTCCGTAGCCATACTTATAAACCGCGACGGCGCCGGTGAGCCATTTCTCAGCAGGAATGCCCCTTTACCGCTCGATACACGTCGGGGAGAAACGTAAGAAGCGAATCAGTCGGAGAACACCCCCCAATGAGTGGCAACGATGCAGCCTGCGATGTATAAGTGCTTCGTCGCCGGAGTCGTCGCTTTAGCGGCGCCCGCAGCGGCCGCTAGTATCGCCGCACGAGCTACGGCTGGATGTGGCAAGGCGCATTTCCTGCCTGGCATCACGACATATCATGGTCTGAACAGCAGCGGACGCGACCGGACTTACTCCGTTCACCTGCCGAGCGACTACGATGATTCCGAGCCATACCCGGTCGTTCTCGGCTTCCACGGCTCGAGCAGCATCGGCCTATTCTTCGAAGTCGACACCGGGTTGAGCGATAGTAAATACAGCGCCAACGTTTGTTGAACAATTCCCTTGATGTCCGGCTTTAGGAGCTTGGGGGAGGGAGCTAACAGCCGGTGATAGAAGATCATGGTTTATCCGAATGGCGTGGGCGTAAGTCTTCCCCTTGCGCGCTGCGTATAAATATAAACCGGTGGTGGACGAACGCTCACTTTTGTCACAGGGGGCTTGGGCCGGCGCGAACTACTCGGAAGCCTCCGTTCCGGAAGACCTCCAGTTTGTCACCGACCTGTTGACGGCCCTTCGGGATGACTATTGCATTGACGACTCCCGAATCTACGCCACCGGGTAAGCGGAACTTGTCTTCGTCTTTTGGAGAATAATGGACTGCTTGTTTCATTTCCTTATGAGTAAGCCGAGGGTAATTACATTTTATTTTGGACTGATCCCTGACATAGTATTTCGATTGGCGGCGGATTCGTCAACACTATCGCGTGTAGCGCCGTGGGCGGGCAGTTTGCGGCCTTCGCCCCCGCATCCGGGGCGTTCTATACGGACGACGCCGGCGTGACGGGCGGGTGCAGCCCGGCCCGCAGCCCTCTTCCTGTGCTCGAGATTCACGGTGGAATCGACGCCAGCGTGCACTATGGCGGCGGGGAAGGCGAGGGTGGCGTGGAACCTGCCATCCCAACGTGGTTGGGGTGGTGGGCGCAGAGGAACGCCTGCACATCGTCGACGACTGAGGATTCGTTTGGAGGCGATGTGCACCATACGACGTGGACGTGCGGCGATGGTGCCGAAGGCGTGGTGCAGCATTGGAAGGTCGATGATATGGGTAAGATCATATATATCTCATGGACAAACCCTCTACCCCATTTTCTCATCTTAAGGATGCATCCATCTTGCTGACGGCGGTACTAGGACACTGCTGGGCTTCGACGGAGATCAATTTCTCTCAGCTTTCCGTCCTAGAAGGCCCAACGCACATCGAGGCGTCACAAATTATCGTGGATTTCTTCGATCAGTTCACGAAGCCGTGAGGCATGTAAGGATATCTATATGTATATCTTGTAACTGCAATGAAATTATCTTCCCAAGGCATGAGGTGTAATAAAAAGTGTATGAGCGAGGGAATTCTGCAAATAAGTGGACAACCAGGAATAATAGGTACCTTGTTATAACCGTGAAAGATTGTTGACGTCTTGGAACTTGGGCATATGCCTGCAATAATTGGGCGGCAATCAACAAAGCTTGTGACGAAGCTTTTGTACGCCTTATGAGAAAAGCGAAAGGGACCTCGTGACCAAATAGGGGTGAGTTGATATCTCACCAAGCATTATAGGGGTTACTATGGATATGGGCTTCATAGGTTTCAAAGCATGAGAATGGGGACATGTTGTGGATTGATTTACCACTGATTTTGAAATTGAAAAGCCTCGGAAGGATACGGGTAAGTTGTTGGAACGAATCCATTGCATGTTCAAACCCCTTGTATAATACTCATGTCTCAATACTAGGCCCCTTCTCTTCTATCTTGAGGATTAATTCATGCTGAATCTTCAGGTTCTGCGCAGAGCTCAGAGACCTTGCCACTGTGGTCTCGTTCTTCTCTACAACGATTTGCCGTAGGGCCTTAATCAAAAAACCAGCTACCAAGTCTACGCTCCAGCTATCTGGTATTACCGACAATATGTCGCTGACATCGAACCAGCTGCCGAACTTCTCGAGGAGTAGGCCCGTTTGCTCCACGCGGTCACTGACGTCCTTAATCTGGAGGAACTCTCCTAACAATGCCCGGAATAATCTGGCCTGATCATTCTGGGTAGGTGGAGCGCTCTCACGCCTTTTTGGCGCTTTGAAATCTTCAGGACTAGATGGGGGTTGATTAGAGGCCTCAGCTTGATAAATGCTGTAAACGCTTGCACCACCCCGAAAGCAGTATGCAACCGCCGTATCGTAGTCGCCAAGGCGATGAACCAGGAGACGTAACGCATTCTCATGATTTAGCTCTCTGCCATCGAGAATGATTGTTTCGGGAACCAGCAAATCTTCAGCAATACCGCTCAAACTGTTGATTCTTTCTCGAACAACCGCTGCGTCGTATTCGTACTTGCCACCTAAAAGCTGAAGCAGCCGTAATCGACTATGCCATGCTTCATCATCAGGTGGAGCGTTATCTGTGAGAAATTGACGATATGTTGATTTTGGTGGCTGGAGCGCCCGATATGCGTCGTATGTTGATAGCACAATTTCCCGGGCTTCCGACGATGCCCGTAAATGATTAACCACGACATCGAGATAGTATGTTATCAATTCATTGACATAAATTGTATGTCCCTTGCCAAACACGAGAAACTCAAGGTAATATTTGACGGCTTCTGGGGCGCCCGTTCTTAAAAGCTCGATGACATAAGGAGGATCGAATTTAGGCGCTTTGCCTTTATCATCCGCGAAAACTTGAACGCCAAGCTTCGGGTTACGATTCGCCAACCAGATACCATATTCTTGCACCAGGGCTCGGTTACTGATTTTCGTCAGGTATTCGCGTACACGCAGCTCGCCATCCTGGAATTCACCGCCTTCGTTCCTTTCCCCTTCGATAATGCGCCGCCACGTCTCGAGCACCTCTTGGATCATTTTTTTACTCTGGTAGAGTCTGCTAAGCACAAACAGACGATGGTATGACTCGATTAATGTCTCGGCCCTGTGAAAGCAATCTACGCCGCTGTCGACGAGCTCGTATAACTCGGCACGTATTCTGGCAGACCCGGGAGGTGAATGCTGATCCAGCTCAAGTAGTACCGCAAGGAGGGCGGCATCTACGGTGCGAAAGACTTCATTCTCATCAGACACACTCCCAAACCCCTTCTTCCGACGCCAGGTACTAAGGAATCGGCGGAGGAACTGAAGAACTGGCTGACTAAGTGCGCCAAGGGCCGTCTTAGTCTTGTTATCGAGGCCTGCACTGGCAATAAACTTTTCAGCAGTAGTTTTAACGCCCCCAAAGATCCATATGCCCCGTTGAGTTTCGATCACTTCATTTCGAACACCAGGGATAACGGACAGTACAACACGTGGATCAAGCTGACTGTCAACTAGAACCTCCTCCATGGCTTGAAGTTCAGGTTCTGTGAAGGTAATCTCAGCAGGCTTCAGGAAGCTTATCAGGAGTAAGACTCCGACTTGTTGTTGTATGTAGCTAAAAGTCATAAATTCCAATTCTGACTTGGCTTCGCGTCCTCGAAATGAGTTAACGATCTTCAGTAACTCTCGCCGCTTCAAGGGGTTCTCATTTGGTAATGTATTCGCAGCTGCGAGCTGTGCATCTAGCTGAAGTATTAGAGGGTTCCGAATAACCGACCAGATATGGTGACCAGACCACACAGCCAAGCGAGCGGTAGCGCCGGCTAGTCGGCGAGCAAACTCCTCTTCCTCTGCGTTGCGAGTTGCTTGCCATCCGTCCGGAAGCGATTCATCGTCTTGAGAATCATTATCCCTGTCAAAAAGCTCCTTCTCTTTGGTCATTCTTTCCATGGATAAGGCTGTTCGTGAATCGGCGCTCTTGACTGAGACGGAGGAAGCCTCTATACTCCCAGATGAGAACGGAGTAAATCTACGCCTGCAGAGGCGATCAACAATTTCTTGAAAATGAGTGTCGTCAGACCCCATAAGTGAGCGGATGCCAAGGGATTTAGGGACTTTAACTCCTGTCGTGCTGTCATAGTTAGGTTCGAGCCAATGCTTTACTGGCTCATTCTCTGCAGCATCCGCATCCCAGCGCTGTATTTCCAACCCGTAATGTATGCCATCATCAAGCTCCCGAC